AAGGTAGAAATAAATTTTTTATAAAAATGCATAGAAATGCAATCAATTTACTCTTGATATTTTAAAATAAAATATTTTAAATTTAGTTTTACAGAAAAAAATCCCAAAGTAAAATTCAAGGAAATGCTGAACTTTATTTTCTCACTAAAATAGTTATGATTTCTTTAAAGATACTTGTAAGATTAGAAAAAGTCAATGAAAACTATTAAAAAATTTAAATCACTATGGTTTTTAAACATCATATTTAAGTTTTATACTGAACTGATTAACTTGTGATATAAAGTAAAAGAAAGTTAGCACAAATTTATGTCCCTCATAGCTTGATTTTTTAAATTTATATTGAGGGTTTTACATTGTCATGATATCTAACTTTTACATTCTTTTTGGAACTGTAATTCCTATGGTTGTTTAAATGCATGTTCAAGTTGATCAATTATTTATTTAGTCATTACATGACAGCTTTTCCCTCACATTTATTTGTCTTGGACTCTTAATTAACTTGATTATTTGATGGAGATTTTTTTAAAAGACATATTCTTAGATGATGAATTCTTTAAGTTACTTAGCCTTTGAGAATATCTATTCATTGCCTTTGTAAGTAATGGCCATCGTGGCTAGTTACAGTATCTCATCATAATTTCTTTCACTCATAACATAGCCATTCTTACTTGTCTTTTTGGCATTGTATGTTGCTATGGAGAATCTTAGGCTAGCCTATTCATTATTATTTTCCCTATTTAGATGAATTGCCTTTTTTACTTGTATTCTTGGAAAAAAGTAACTACTTTCGAGTTATTAACAGAATATAAGACCCAAATTATGTCATTTATATGGTATTTATTTTCAAATTGCTTTAGTTTCATTTTGTTTAATCTCCAAAGCAAATCTATAAAATAAATATTATCTCCATCTTTTATAAGATAAAACTAAAGCTCAAATAGTGTAACTGATTTTTCCAGATCTTAGATGTAGTATTCAACCAAAATAGACCTAAGAGAATCGACTCTAAATTCAGTGCTCTTTCAATTATATGGCTTTGTAAGATAATTATGGATAAATTGTCTCTAGTTGTCATCTACTGTACATTTTAGGTAGAGTTATAACCATTTTACCTTAAAAATCTTTCACCACTTAAACTGTATATGTTACATAGATTTACTATAGATCTCCCATGACAAAATCTTTTATTAGACAAAAGGAAAGATAAAATCTTTTTAAGATTTTAGTATTACTTTGAACCCATAGATCACTAATGACAAAATCTTCTTTTTCTTGCAAGTAGAATAATAACTTTGTTTTTTTTCACTAGTACATAAATAGAAAGGGTGGGAGGGTGAAGGAGGATGGGATGAAGAGACTAACAATTATTGAGCTTCTAAAATAATGCCATTGGAATCTTAATAGGGATTACATTGAATCTATAGATGACTTTGAGTAGTATAAACATTTTAACAATATTAATTCTTCCATGAACACAGGATATTTTCCTACTTATTTGTGTGTTCTTCAATTTCTTTCAAGAATGTCTTATGGTTTTCAGTGTACAGATATTTCATCTCCTTGGTCAAATTTATTCCTAATTGTTTTATCGGTTTTGATGCTATTATAAATGATATTGTTTTCTTTATTTCTTTTTTAGATAGTTCTTTGTTAGTGTATAGAAAGGCAACTGATTTTTGTATGTTGAGTTTGTGTCCTGCAGTTTTACTGAATTTGTGGCTTACTTCCAACAGCGTTTTTCATGAAGTTTTTAAGGTTTTCTATATATAAGATCGTGTCTTCTGCAAACAGCGACAATTTACTTCTTCCTTTCCAAATTGGATGCCTTTTTTTCTTTTTCTTGCCTGATTGTGCTGGCTAGGACTTCCAGTACTATGTTGAATGGGAATGATGAAAGTGAGCACCCTTGTCTTGTTCCTGATCTTAGAGGAAAATCTTCCAACCTTTCACATTAAGTATGTTGTTAACTGTGGCTTTGTCATAAATGGCGTTTATTATGTTGAGGTACATTCATTCTACACCCAATTTTTTTGAGAGTTTTATCATGAATGAGTGTTGAATTATGTTAAATGCTTTTTCTGCATCGTTGAGATGACCATATGATTTTTATCTTTCATTGTATTAATGGTATGTATATTGATTTGTGTACATTGAACCATCCTTGCATCCTAGATGAATCCCACTTGATTATCCACTTGAATTGGTTTGCTAGTATTTTCTTGAGGGTTTTTGTAGCTGTACTCATCAGGAATATTGGTTTGTCATTTTCTTTTTTTGGTAGGGTCCTTATCTGGTTTTGGTATAAATGTATTGCTTACCTCACAAAATGAGATGAATTTGGTATTTCTCCCTCACCATCAATTTTTGGGAAGAGTTTGAGAAGGATTGGTATTAATTCTTCTTTAAATGTTTGGTAGAATTAATCAATGAAGCCCTCTGAGCCTAGGCTTTCTTTCTTGGGAGGTTTTTGATTACTGCTCCAATTTTCTTACTCATTTTTGTTCAGATTTTCTGTTTCTTCATGATTTAATCCTGCTAGATTGTATGTTTCTAGGAATTTATCTGTTTCTTCTAGATTGTCCAATTTGTTAGTGTCTAATTGTTTATAGTAGTCTCTTATGATCCTTTGTATTTATGTGGTATCATTTACGTCTCCTCTTTCATTTATTATTTTATTTATTTGAATCTTCTCTCTTTTTTCCTTGATTAGTCTGGGTAAGTGTTTGACGATTTTGTTTATCTTTTCAAAGTACCAACTCTTAGTTTTGTTGATCTTTCTATTATTTTCCTATTTTGTATTTATTTCTGCTCAAGTCTTTATTATTTCCTTTCTTCTGCTAACTGTAGGCTTAGTTTGTTCTTCTTTTTTTAGTTGATTAGGGCTTCCAGCTGTACCCCAATCCCTTATACATCTCTATCTGATCCCCATTGGCCAAGCTCTGCAGACTCCCCCAGTGATGCCTCTGAGATGAGACCCAAATGGGCCTCCCAGGAAGTGTCCTACAATGCTGAGAAAGCTGGGTGTCCACCTTGTGTTCTCTTTATCCCACTGGGGAAACTGTAGGACCAGGGAGAGCCTCTTGGTGCAGTGGTTGTGCCAACTTGGGGGTGGGGTGATACAGTCAAAATGTAACCACTGCTCTTACCTAACATGGTCCTTCTTGGTCATTGTTGTCCAGGGGGGTGCTTCAGCATTACCCCCAGGTTCTGGGATTTTCACACCACTGTCTTTTCTATGGATAGTTGCTAGTTCATCTTCAACTAGTGGATACTTAAGTTGGGATGACCTATGTCACCATCTTGATGACATCACTTACTTGTTGATTATTTTAAAGGAAGAAATAGTTGCAGTTAATGTGAAATGAAAAAAATCTGCCTTTGGATTAGAATGGATGGTGTTAAAATGTGAATTACAATTTGCAAATCAATAAAAATAATTTCATGCACACTTCTACAGAAAACTATTCTTATATTGTATATAAAAAGTATATATTTTAATTTATGCATTTTATGTTTATATTAGGTTAGTAACTTTTATATTTTAATGTAAGAAAAAACATCAAAGGATGCTTTGTAGAATGTATAGTAGCAGGTAAATATATGTTCTCTCATAATAGCAATTGACCAGATAGTTTTATAATTTTTAATGGCTATTATTTTAATCAACTAAATTATATGTCTTAATGAACAATTCATTAAATTTTTACTTATTGCCATTCTTCACTCTGGAAATTCCTATATTATTCAAAAGGTGTATTTTTCAGAACTAATATGTTGCCTATGCAGTTTTTTGAAGTTGGCAAAAAATAATATGCAGAAGCTCAGAAAATAAAAGTAATTTATCTTTTAGCAATATAAGCTGTGTTATTTTAATTCATCTCATTATCTATCTTTGCTTTGATACTGAGGGAAATACATGCTTCACTTTATGGAACTTTTATTATTTGGCATGGTAGAGTTTTAATAATTTACATTTTTATTAGAAACTATTATAAGTTGGAGAGAGAAAGCAATTCAGATAATTTGCAGAATGATACAAAATGTTGTGTGTTTTAATTTTTTCCCATTCCTTTTCTGAAACAGACTATCACAGAAAGTAAGAACTGGAGGGGAAGTGAGAGTTAAGTTAATAAGCCCTCCCTCTCCCCATCCCTTATTTAACAAGAAGAAACAACGATTAATTGCTTTACAGGGTCAAGAAAATGACTTAGGTCTCCTCATCCTTATTCAAATGCCAGTTGGGATTGAAACCTCATGGACTGATGGAAGAAGGAACAGTTACAACTGCTGGTCCAGGGCACAGTAGACATCTAGAAGTGCTTGGAAGGTTAAGAAGCCTGAATTCCTGCAAGAAAAATGAATCAGAAAACAAGACATAGAAGAGAAAGACAGATGTAAAGATCCCATTTTTTGTCACTCTGCCCTGGTGGCTACTTTAATTTTTTGTCCATCCTTGCATGACCTTTAGTGTTGCCTTGGGTGAATGTAGATCTTACCAATTTAAGCCAGAAGAAAAGTTGATAACTTATGTGTGCTACTTTGGTACAATATGATTATAATAATGAGGTGTCTCCACCAGGAAAGTTCTACTTATCTTCCAGATCCATCTCATATACTGGTCTAAGAGTGAAGACTGGTACAACTTTACTAGCTGATAATTTTATAATATAATTCTACAGATTAATATGTCTAGATATTTCAATTATATTACTTGACCTATGTGATAGAAAAATCATACTTCTAGATATTTAGTGTAAAGAAATGATGGATGCTTTCTAAAACATTGTTTTTTTAATTGAGATATAATTAGCATATAACCACATTAGTTTCGGGTGTACAAGATAATGATTCCATATATGTATATATTGCTAAATGATCACCATAATAAGTCTAGTTAATATCCATCACCACACATGGTTACAATTTTTTCTCTTCTGATGAGAACTTTTAAGAGCTACTCTCTTAGGAACTTTCAAATATACAATATATACAATATAGTATCATTAACTATAGTCACCATGCTGTACGTTACATCCCCAGGACTTAATTATTTTGTAAATAAAAATTTGTACTTTTAACCACCTTCACCTTTTCTGCCCACCCTCCACCCTCTGCCTCTGTCTCTGGTAATCACCAATCTATTTTCTGTATCGATCATATGGTATTTGTCTTTTTCTGTCTTATTTCATTTAACATAATAACCTCAAGATCCATCCACATCGTTGCAAATACAACATTGTTTATATAGCAATATTTAGAGAAAAATATAAATATCCAACAAGGGATCGAATATTTGGAATATTATATATTAGTTAAATGATTGTATAAAAATATAATGCTGACATTAAAATATGTTCCTGTACTATCATACAATGTGAATTATAGGATACAAAATGATATTTATAGGATATATACATATATGCTATTATACTGTCAGTGTAAATTCATGAGATTAAAATATAAAACATCAAAAAATAATTTTAGTGATAATTATAATGTATACGTGTTATGATAGTCAGCTCTGTCAAGTTTCACAGGTCTCTTTCATGAAGCTTCTCTTGAAACTAAATAACAGAGGAGGACGAAAGAAGATAAGATAGAGTGAACATGGTCAACACTCGAGCTTAAACAGAGGAGCATGTGATTATTGAATCCCAGTGCATTTTATTCACTGCTTGCAATTAATAAGCACTTGATAAACATAGGTAAATAAAGAAGGTTCATTTTGCCCATTCTCAGTTTTTCTGTGTTATACCTTTAATAGATAATATTAGTTTATATTATTTTCCAGGGCCAGATAAAAATTAACATAACTTTGACTCCCACCCAATAAAGTAGGTCATATTCTCCCTGGGTGTCTACTTGTTGTTGTTTCTGATTTATTAGACTTAATAAATTTATGACTCCAACTAAGGAATTGATCAGTTTGGCGTTACTTTAGTTGTTGCCTACTTTCCAGTTATTTGCTATCATTTTGTAGCCATGGAATCTAAAGCCAGCTAAGTAATCTGCCTCTTAACCCAGTCAATTTAGTTCCTGGACTGAGTCCAATCTCACACATGGATGAAAACAAATCTCATTTGAATTCTCAACCGGGGGGGGGGGGGGGGGGGGAATGCCTTTTTGGTATGATCCAGGAGAGGTCTAAATAGCAAGATTGTGTTATGAGTAAGGTTTGTTAACATCCAACGAGTTTGGCAAGATTTCACCTCTCAGTACCCCATGAGGGTGCTTGTGAGTGTAAAGTAGGATCTTATGCAAGAGTCTGAAGTTTATTAGTCATATTTACTTACCTTATAAAACCAAAATTATATCTCTCAATTGTTTTGAAGACAGCTGCAGCTAACATATCTCTCCCTCTGGGTACTCTCAGACTTGGGTTATATTTTCTCAACTCTTTGGAACAGTTTAGACCCTGGCTACCACACTGCTATACTGCAGCAAACAAATTATTCAGAGCATATTATTATGATGATTCACCACAGAGAGGGAGCTTCAGATTAGGAAATTTCTAATGTCATATGGAGTGAAAAACCTTAAAACAGTGGCATAACCGTCTCTGATTTTCCTGGGAAGGCAACTATTTAGAATGGAGACCTGGATTTGAGGTACTCATTAATTTTTAACTGAGAAAATTGATTCTTGAGAACAAAATGGATGGGATCTAAGAATATAAAAAGCAGGACCCAACCAACATCTGGATTCAGAGACTCCAGTTTCCTTTTACTATTAGGACTCAAATATCACTTTGATAGTTAATACATGTATCAGGAATGTACTATACTTACAGTATAAAAATTACAAATTGTAAAGTTACATATCCCACTTCATTTTTTATTGTCATTATAGTATTTATTCATTTTTTTAAAAAGTTCAATTTGTTAGTTTAGGCCTGGAGTCAGCAAACTTTTTCTGGAAAAAGCCAGATACTTTAGCCTTTTTGGGCTGTATGATCACTGTTGGAACTACTCAACTTTGCTGTGGTAGCTTTAAAGCAGCCAGAGGCAACATGTAAATAAATGAGTGTGTTTGCGTTCCCCAGATTTTATTTCCAAATAACAGAAGGTGAGCGAATTTGACCTGTAGGTTGCAGTTTACACCCCTGGTTTAGGGTTATTCCCAGCTGAGGCAAAAAGGCCAGAGATCAATTCTCTTAGGTTCTTAATCTTTGTTATATTTTCAAAAACATTAGAAACTCTGAGAATGGTGTTTTTTTGTGACTTGAATCATCTATTTTAAGCCTGCAACAGGTCAATTAAAAAATAGTCTAATTCTGAAATATTTTTGAGGTATCTTAAAACTCAATTCTGCTTTTGCTTAATAAACAAGTAATTTGACAAACATTTGACTTATTAATGTCTCTGTATCCTGTGACCACTCTCCCATGGGCTATCTAAATACCTTCATGCGTTCTCTTTCTTACCACATCAAAGCTTAGTTTCATATGGGAAGCTGTCTCTTAAGGTACCTACTGAACACATTCACACGATGTTTGAATTATTGATCAAGTATAATGCCCTGAATCACAGTGAGGGAAAATTGCTGACCAGCAGGCAATTAGGGATTTTCATGGGTTAAGAGGGGAAAGTAGGCAAAGATGATTGCCTGGACCACTTACCATCTACTCTTAAACCTTTCATTATTAGAATATTATTATGCAAAATAAATCAGTCCATTTACGTTGTTTTAACTGGGAATATTTGCCATCCTTGTTTTTTAGATATTGAAAGACAGGGAGATCCATGTGCTTCCTTGATTTACTCTGTCAAATTTTGTTTTTTATTCTGCTTTTAACTTCTTATCATTTTGTTTCTCCATTGCACTATAAATGCTTCATAACCAAACATTATATTGATAATTGGTTCTATAATTTGCCAATTGATGACATCATATGGAAATGTCATAGAATCAGAGAGCTAAAAGGGTCTTAAAAAGCATATATTTCCTCTCTTCATTTAATATCAAGTTTTGAAAATTCTCCAAATTTTTAAACATTTTTTTCTACTGGATACTAGTGAACATTTTACGATCATGTCATTGTCAGCAAGCAATAGGGAGAGAACTAAGAGACTTAGTACATATTAAATCCTGTAATAAAACAAGTTAAACAAAAGAGATGTTTACCAAAAGTGGGCTATCTTTAACTACTGAATATCTGAATCTTTTCTTTTTGTACAGTAACTTGGATTATTCAGAGGTGACATAGGCACCCGCATTCTGAATTTATTGAATTCAAACACAGCATAAGAGATTTTTCTGTTAAACTCAGAGAACATTCACTAAGAGGCAAAAAAAATAAATAAATAAAGCCATCATTTTCTAAGGTATGGTTTTTCTGACCTTTACAATGTGCTTTGCCATCTTTCATTAATAGTTTACTATGTACTGTGATAAAGAAAACAAAACAATGACCCGCTAAGAGACAGAAAGAGAAAAAAAGATAGGGAGACCATACTCTATGGGGTAAATGTTTCAAAAGAGCCAGTTTCCAATGTCCCCTTATTTATCCAATAGTAGTTCAATTATTGTTTAATTAACTGCAAACAATAAGGGGGATTGCATTTTCTATAGATAATTCAAAAATAACAAAAATGAATCTACATTTTTTTAAAGTCACCATGTGCTGGAAATTCTAAACGATATCAGTAATTAAAATATTCCTCCTTTCTCAATTTTTTATCTAAATTCCAAACCAGTGAGGGGGTAGCAAGCTTTGGTCTATGGGCCAAATCCAGAATATAACATAAAATAAACACTTTTTTTACAAGTGGTTGAAGGAAAATTGTGAACGCTTTTTTATCTCTTGTTACATAAGTACCTACATAGTATTCTCAATTTTGTTTGTTGGCTTGAAAAAAGCCAAAATTTTTACTATCTGGCTCTTTAAAGAAACAATTTGTTGACTCTTACTTCAAACAATTGCTGTGGTTAATGTTTCATTTTTATATATAAACAGAATAAACTTCAGATTTATAAGCTTGAAATTAACACATTTTTATTATTTATCTTTTAATAGCATTCTTAATTTGGAAAGGAAGTATACAGAAGGCCTTCAACACACAAAGATTTCATTACTTGCGTTAATTTCCAGAGTAAGTTCCTAATGATTCGGAGCCATTTGAACTACCTTCGCGTGCAGTTAGTACGTCCAATCCTGTGGTACATATCTCTACATTGAAATATTTGAAATAAACAATGATAGCACGCTGATTGTAAATAGTAAGAAATAGACCTTTAGTTACGTGAATTCTGACATTCTCTGTGACCACAAAAATATTTGCAAACAACAATTAGTCTTGAAGAGTGAGATACAGACTCTAAAATTATTCCCGCATGATTGGTGGTAGACAAAAACTGTGAAGAATATTTGCCATGCAGCAACAAAATGTAAGTAAATTGATGTTTACATAGAAAAAAAGACACAAATATTGAAAAATACCAGGAGAAATGAGAAAACACGTTCTTACATTGCCAGAAGAAATAAAGACAAAGTTAATGTAGTCATTGTTTTCATCAAAAACTGAATGCTTTTTCTGAAGAAGGGAATCAAATCATGTCAGTGTTTGCCTCATTTAATCTTTTGCACTGATGTTTGCAGAAGGAGAAAAAAATTGGAAGTTTTTACAGATTATAATCAAGATTTATGACGATTTTTTCTGGTGAACACATTTTAGTGAAAGTTTTTCAAATTCAAAGGCATTTGAAAGCTGCTAGAATCAATCCTGATGAAATAAGGCAGGCCTTCAGTAATATTGCACATTCTGAAACTCACTGTGAAATGGGGTTTTTATTAATTTCTATTCAACCTTGCCTTTAATACTTTTCTTACCTATTTATATATCTGTTTCATAGAAACTTTTCAAAATTAACATTAAAAAACAGTTTTTTTCCAACCAGCTATGGGTGAAGATAGATTGACAAAAGTCTGGCTATATTGTCTATTGGACATGAATATATAAAGAAAATCCATATTCATGAAGTCATTGGTAAACACAACATTGTTATTATTTATTGCTGTGACAGATTAACATGTAGGTATAATATTTTCCTCTATTTTGTTAAAAATACATTAATTTAATTAGAAAGTATTAATCTAAAATTTTTTTCTTTTTTACTATAATATGTAACTTTTACTTTTTTTGCTGGAATGGTTTTACGGACATATGTACATATAGAAGATGCATGTGCTATGGATAGATACAGATATACAAAGTTAAATAAAAATAAATTTCAAAGTCTGCATTTATTTTATTTTCATTGTTATTTATTTCATATTGTGATTTATTATTGAAAATAATTTTGCTGTTTAAAAGAGGAGGCTGTTTAAAATGAGATGTTCTATGTATCAAATATGTCAGCCTTGTTCCTGTGTTCACATGTATAGCCACTATAAAAAAGAAAAAATGTCTTTTCTTAGCTGACATTTATATTTACTGTGTAACACCACAATTAATGACACTTTAAATTTTCTTATCATCTTCAACTTTTCCAAATAGTTTCTCATGTTATCTGTGGCTTAACAGATGTAGATTATTAGTTTGTTTGCTTTTTTAACTGATCAGGTTTTAGAATTTCAAATTTAAAAATATGTTGCATGCAGCTGAGGCAGTGATTTCTCTTCTTGCGATGTTTCCTTCCATCAGACAGAGAGCTACTAGCGAAACAATCCTGGCCTCCCTCCTTCTCAGGCGCCCTTTCCCTGGGACAGGGAGTTGAGGGGCAGAGAGATGGAGGGGAGGACAAGCTGGTTGCTGAGGTTGGAAGTATTACCTGGGCATGTGTAGCTCAGCCCTTTCCTGTCCCTTTATTCTGGAGCCTAGACATGGTCCCCCAGCGCAGCCTTCTCTGTATCCTTATTACTATAACTCTGCCTATTTCCTATCAGCACTGCCATGATTGAGAGAGTAAATTCGCTTAATTCTGGGTTCAGGATTAGGAAGTCCACTTGTCCTTGGAAACAAGTCTCACTCTCCAATATCGGCTGAATGATTGGTGATGCTTTGGCCTTGTGTTCTTTACTCTATTGTCTTATTTCCCAGTTGGTTTTGAACTTGAGCAGAGAAGGGAATGCTATTTACTGGGGGTCCTTGGAGACCCCTTAATGGCAAACAACTGTCAATTTTGTGGAATATATCCTTTAAAATGATATCCTTTCAGCCTATAATTTTATATTAAGGGAATGTGGCTAATGGCAACAATACGGGGCAAATTTAAAGAGTGATTGGAAAATTTTGATTCATGATGTAATTATAAAGGAAATAACTTTGTGGGAAATTTCTCTGAAAAGTTAGTTATTAGAATAATTCACTGAATAATGGCACTGCTCTATGAGACTGGGAAAAGGCACAGATCTTGAGACTTTCTCCCTCAGGAGGGAGGGAGAGGAGTGGAGCATGACTCTAATGCCTCCAATGCCTCCAGCCTCTGAGTGTGCTAGTCAGAGGGCTGGTTTCTTTATTGCCTCACATGAAGCACTGATGAAACTAGCATAGTCAGACACCAGAAGGAGCAAGAGATTACAGGCTCCTGAACAAAAAAGACTGGGGGCCTGAGGCAGCTAGGAGCAAGGGCATCAAATCTCTGCAGATCTTTTTTTATTAACTGCTCATTGTCATTTATAATTTATAACTATTTAATTAGGAGAAAATTGAGGATAAAGCTATTTTAATGGTCTTTCTACTGTAACTTAAGAGCAGTAAGTTTAAAGAAAAAATTTATTATTAAAATGTGCTTTCTACCTACTGGATTATTTGCCTTCCATTTGAAACACAATTCAGAAAACTTAACAGAAAAAGCATAAAGACAACTGTATTTTAGTTATATACCTCTTAGATATTAATACCTTTTTCTTCTCTACACAATTAATTTCTAGCTATGTAATCTAATATGATTAAAATAAGTCAAGCCATTATATAATTAAAAATAAAAAGCCTATTTTCACAGATTTTGCTTGAAAATAAGGTACATCAAACTAATTTTACACACAGATATCGTATTTGATTTTAAACTCCCAGAATATAGTAAATTGTTTTTAATAATTTTTTATAGTACCCAGTATAATATATATAGATATGGATAAATAGATAATGACAGTAATGCTGCTTTCACATCACAAAACATTGAAATGTATTACATGAGAGTTTTCTTTTAAATATGATCAAGAAAACTTTTTCTTTGAACTTCTTGTCCCCATAGGTTATATGCAAGGCAAGATTTCTGGACAGTGACAGAGCCAAGGCAAAAATCTTGCTACAATGGAAGAAAATCCCCAAATCAGAACTATAGAAGCATATCAATTGAAATATATTCAACAGATAATTTATAAAATACTTCCATTGTGGTGGCATTGGGATTATAAAGGAAGACAAGAATTTGCACGTGAGTAGATGAGTTTAGAGAAAGCAGGATTTACAGTAAAGTTGTTTCATATTGGAGTCAATTACCTCCATAGTATATACTCCATCCCTTCTCTTGGCCAAAAAGAACATTTTTCTCAACAATATTTTCTTCTGTCAGAATTCTCTTGAGGCTTAAAAGAGAAAATTTTAAAAATTTTACTTTATAGGCAGCAGAGAGTTAATGATAGAACTTACAGTGTATACTGTGTTGCAATACGTTTAAGATTCATTTGTGGTACTTATAGTGAAACATTAAAGGAGATAGAAGGTTCTTCAGTGTCCAATATAAATATTGAAGGAAATGCCATGTCACAACCTGCTGTGAAATCTAAAATGATCTTCCAGTGTCATGATCAGAGATGAATGGACCATCCTATAACTCAGAGTTAAGGTTTCTTAAGGTTTAATTTCTCAAGGTTTAATGAGGCGGGTAAGGAATTGGGAAGATCATAGAGTTTTGGCTTTTCCTTCTTTTGGATTCTGATTTAAGTGAAACACATGCTTTCCTCTTCATGACACCATCTCATACTCATCACAATAAAGCCTAATTAACCTTTTCCTCATCAGTGCTCCCACATCCCTCTCGTCATATCTCATTTATCACACTAATAATCCTATAATAACCTAGAATTTTAATTACCTGTGACTATGCTTGCCACTCTCCCACTTGCTAAATTTATGGAAGATAGTGACAATGTCATATTCATTTTCATAGGCTCCATATAATTTAGCAACTGTACTCAGCTCAAAATTACTGAGGTAATTTTACTGTTAATACAAGGGGCGATGTCAACAAGATGGCAGAATAGGAAGTCCCAGGCCTCATTCCCCAACAGAAACACCAATTTACCAATGATATATAGACCAAAATACCTCTATGAGAGGTCCAGATTCCAGTTAAGAAGTTGCAATAGCCTAGATGAGCACAAACTAAAAACAGCTTCATTGAGATGGGTGAGGAGGAATTTCACTTTACTCACAGCAGCACTTCCCTGGAGCCAGAACAGCTCAGTGCTGAAAGAGACCACCTTGACTCGTGACTTCCCCTTGATGGGGAGGGGCACAGAGAAGGAGTGTTGAGAAAGTGCCCAATATTCCCCATCTTTCTGTGTGTTGCCTGAGAGGTGGGTTTCCTTCTTGCCACACACAGAGTGCTGAGGAAAGTTTGCATAGTTGGGAAGCCTGGGGTAACTAGGAGCAAATGAAAGGGTTGGACAGCTTGCTGGTGCTAGCATGGCTCTTTGAGTTTGGGAGAAGGCACAGAACTGAAGTTTCTCCGCCAGGAGGCAGTGGAGTGGACCATGCCTCCAACATCCTGGACCTTTCAGTGCTCTCTCTGGGGGGTCAGTTTCTGTCTTTCCACACATGGAGTGTGGAAGGAATCAGCATAGTTTGGGCACGTGGGAAAGCTAGGAGCAAACGAAAAGGAAGGAGGCTGCTTGCGCTGGCAGACACTGCTCTATGAGACTGGGAAAAGGCACAGATCTTGAGACTTTCTCCCTCAGGAGGGAGGGAGAGGAGTGGAGCATGACTCTAATGCCTCCAATGCCTCCAGCCTCTGAGTGGGCTAGTCAGAGGCCTGGTTTCTTTATTGCCTCACATGAAGCACTGATGAAACTAGCATAGTCAGACACCAGAAGGAGCAAGAGATTACAGGCTCCTGAACAAAAAAGACTGGGGGCCTGAGGCAGCTAGGAGCAAGGGCATCAAATCTCTAACTGGGTCCACAGGTGAAGGTCTTACCTTGTTGAAGCCGGTCCGTAAAAATTGAGAGAGGTAGCTGTTTCTTCAAATGTGCAAACACCGGTGCAAAGCTACAAGGAACACAAACAATCAGGAAAACACGATACAATCAAAGGAACAAAATAAATGTTCAGTAACTGACCCTAAAGAAATGGAGATCTGTGAATTACTTGACAATTCAAAATAATCATTTTAAAACGCTGAGTGAATTACAAGGGAACACAACTAAATGCAATTAGTAAATTCAGGGAGTTCAAGTTGTAACTAAAGGATGATGAAAAGCAACACAAAAGCATCTGAAAGTATAAAACTCACTGGCACAGGTAAATACACAATACTATATTACTATAATGGTGATGTGTAAATCACTTTTAACTCTAGTGTAAAAGTTAAAAGACAAAAGTATTAAAAACAACTATAACCAAAAAAATTTGTTAATGGATATCCAATATAAAAAGATGTAAATGTTACACTAGTAACATAAAGTATATTTTCAGTGACGAAGAAATTAAAGTGTAGAGTTTTTGTATGTGATTGAAATTAAGTTGTTATCAGCTAAAAACAGACTATTATAGCTTTAAGATGTCTTATGCAAGCTTCATGGTAACTACAAAGAAAATATCTATAGTAGATATCCAAAAGAAAAAGACAAAAAAATCAAATCCTACCACCACACACACAAAAATGAAAAATCACAAAGGCATAAAACAAGGTAAGAAAAGAGAGACAAAAGAACTACAAAACAGACAGAAAACAATTAACAAAATGGCAAAAAGTATGTCAGTTCTTCCCTATCATAATTATTTTAAATGTAAATAGATTAACCTCTTCAAAACATATAGAGTAGATGAATGGATTAAAAAAACAAGGTCCAACTATATACTGTCTAAAAGAGACTCACTTTAGATTTGAAGATACGCACGGACTGAAAGTGAAGGCATGGAGAAAAATACCACTTGAAAATGATAACCAAAAGAGAGCAGAAGTGGCTATACTTATAGGAGAAAAAATAGACTTTGTCACAAACTGTCACGAGACATAAAAGATAATTATACAATGATAAAAGGGTCAATTATCAGAAAGATATAAATGTATATACACACAACATCAGAGCATGTAAATATAAAGCAAACTGACAGATTTGAAGAAAGAAATACAGAGCAATACAATAATAGTAGAACAGTTCAATAGCCCACTTTCTATAATGGATGGAATATCCAGCCAGAGAATCAATAAGGAAACAGTGGATTGAACACTATAGAATAATGAATTTAAGAGACATAGACAGATGATTCCACCCAACAGCAGCAGAATACTTATTCTTCTCAAGGCCACACTTAACATTCTCCACGATACGTAATATGTAACATGTTAGGTCACTAAATAAGTCTTAAGAAATTTAAGAGGATTGAAATCACACCAAATGTCTTTTCTGACCACAATGAAATGAGAGTAGAAATCAATAACAGACGGAAAACTGGAAAATTCACAAATATGTGGAAACTAAACATCACACTCTTGAACGACCATTGAGTCAAAGAAGAAATCGAAAGGGAAATTAGAAATATCTTGAGACAAACAAAAACAAAAACACAACATACCGAAACTTTTGGGATTCAGCAGAAGCAGTACAAAAAGGAAAGTTAATAATAATAAACATTTACATTTGAAAGGAGAGATCTTAATAAACCACCAAATCTTACACCTTAAGGAACTAACAAAAGAAGGACAAACTAAACCCAAAATTAGGTGAAGGAAGGAAATAAAAAAAAATAAAACTGGAAATAAATGAAATAGATAATATAAAAATAACAGGAAAAAATCCACCAAATTAAGATAACTTTTGAAATGATAAATGAAACTGATAAACTTTTAGCTAGATTTATGATGAAAAAAAGAGAAGAGACTGAAATAAAATTAGAAACGAAAAAGAAATATTACAGCTATGCCACAGAAATAAAAAGAATCATGAGACTCTTATGAATAATTATACATCAACAAATTGGATAAGGTGGAAGAAATGGATAAATTCCAAGAAACATACAACCCATTAAGATTGAATCGTGAGGGACTGGCCCCGTGAACGAGTGATCAAAGATGAATAAGCATCTTGAATCAGTAATCAAAAACCTCCCAATAAAAAAAAGCCCAGGACCAGAATTCTTCACTGGTTAATCCCACCAAACATTTAAAGAAGCATTAACAATGTTCCTTCTTAAACTCTTCCAAAAAGTTGAAGAAGAATGAATCTTTCTGTATTCATTTTATAAGGCCTACACTATTCTGATATCAAAGTCAGACAATGATGTTATAAGAAAAGAAAACTACAGGCCAATATCTCTGATGAACATAAATGCAAAAATCCTCAACAAAATACTGGCAAATTAAATTCAACAGTATATTAAAAGGATCAGACAACATACTTAAGTGGGCTTTATCCGTGGGGTGTAAGACGGTTCAACATAGGAAAATCAATTTATGTGATAAGCCACATCAACAGAATGAACGATAAAATTCACGATTATCTCAACAGATGCAGAAAAAAGCATTTGACAAAATTCAGCACCCACTCATGAAAAAAACTTGCATCAAATAAGAAAGAGAATGACATTCCTCAACACAGTAATGGCTGTATATGTAAAGCCCACAGCTAACATATTCAACTGTGAAAACCCACAAGCATTTCCTCTAAGAACAGGAAGAAGGCAAGAGTGCTCCCTCACTACTTCTATTCACCATAGTACTGGAAATGATAGCGAGAGAAATTAAGTAAGAAAAAAACATAAAATGTATCCAAATAAAAAAAGAAGTAAAATTATCTCTGCTTGAAGATGACAAGATATTATGTACAGAAAATCCTAAAGACTCCACCAAAATATCATTAGAACTAATAAATGAGTTCAGTAAAGTTGCAGGATATAAAATCAGTTGCATTTCTATACACTAACAATGAACTATCTGAAAATGAAATTAAGAAAATAATCCCATTTACAATAACATCAAAAAACTCCAAAATCTTAGAAATGAATAAACTTAGCCAAGGAAGTGAAAGACTTCTATACTACAAAACATTGAAAAAAATTAAAGAAAACACAAATAAATGGAAAGACACCCCATGTCATTGGTTTGGAACTTAAATATTGCTAAATTGTCCATGCTTCCCAAAATGATCTACAAATTCAATGCAACTCCTATCAAAATTCCAATAACATTTTTTTCAGAAATAGAAAAGCAATC